TGTAAATGGATTGAATTCAAATGTTGGATAATCAAAAAATTTAGAGAGTGCAGATTTTATCAACTGATTCAATTATCCATTAAGATGAGATGATACTTTATTGATTCTCAGAGGGGAAAGTCGAGCGTGTGCAGCAAGAACTGAGTTTTTTTTAATATGTCTTTGAAAACATTTTTACCCTTGGATGATGCTTGACGCTTATGAGAACATTTTTGTTTAAATATTGCAAAAAATGAAAATGTCAACGGTCAAATGTGAGAAGACATTTATTGAAAGCATCAAAAAAAGAAATGGATGCTTTTGTGTTGGAGAGCTGCAACGCTTTCTGTTCATGGACAACACTTTCAAGGTTTTTCTTAAGAGACCATTTTTTCTTTCAACAAGCATATTCAACATCATGCATGTGTGTGTGTGTGTGTGTGTGTGTGTGTGTGTGTGTGTGTGTGTGTGTGTGTGTGTTGGATTTTTTTAACTGGACCTTTATTTATCAGTCTGCATAATGTACAGCCGTACTTTACATCCTAACATTCACAAAACAAAAACAGAACAGATCTTAGATCAGCACATGTCCTTAAACTAATGGACCCTCTGCTAAAGAGCACAGCACCCTGTGGTGAGCCCACATTGAAAGAGAGAGAGAGAGAGAGAGTTTTCTTTTCCATGTTCAAATAATAAAACAGTAAAACAGAGTGTGTGTCTCCACAGCTAGAGTCTGTTTCTCTGGGTGTGATGTCATTTCTAAGGTTTAAAATCTCTACATCATTAAACGTTATATTGATAAGTTAAGTTCATGTGCACGTTTGAAATTAAAATGTGTTGAAAATGAAATAAACCCCAAAGACACACGTTGAGCTATTGCAGCTTTTAACACCATCAACCCCTTTGAGGTCAATATTGCCAGCGGTTGCTATGGAAACTAACCATTTTCACTCACATTCCCTTCCTTTGAATAATTATTTTTACTTGAACGGCTCCTGAGACCTTTTTTGTAATAAAACTCAAACATTCAAGCAGTTTGAAGTAACAACATTCTAAGTTAACAAAGAAAAAAAAACACTTTTTGTTTTCATGTGTATTCAGAAAACTTTAAAAAAAAAAAAAAATGTGATTAACAAAGACGTTTTTGACTTTTACAAACACATCATAGGAACTTGTAACCTGAATCCTACAAGTTTTCATTGTTAATATGAGATTTTGATTCTCACTCAATCTCAGGCACACAAAAAAAACCCTTAGGACTAAAGACAATTTCAAGTGGGGTTACTTGAAATTACTTGATTTTCTAACCTTCATCTCTTATTTACTGGATGAAGCTTCAAGTAAGATACACGCATGGCATTGTGGGATATGTGAGCCAGGAACTAAATGGTAAAATTGGACTTGAGCATGTATAGCGCTGTTTCTAGTCTTCTGACTACTCAAACCACTTTTACACCGCAGGTTACACCTACACATTCACACACTGATGACATAGGTTGCTATGGAAACTGACCATCAGAAGTAACTAATCCCATTAATAAATGAGCTGGGTGAATGAGGTAACCACTGTATTACAAAAAGCAACAATGTAGATCATGTAATAAAAAAAGATTGCCTCTAAAGGATGCAGTTGTTGTTGTTGCTGTGTGTCAGACCAGAAAGGCCTCAGGCAACACATGTCTGTACAGAGAGGAACAGCTGAAGGTATGCAGAAACAATGGAGTACACTTTAGCCTTGAACAGTGTGTGTGTGTTCACTGTGTATGATGAAGCCGTGGTCTCGTTTCTTTGAGGATATTTAACTCTTTGCTTCCAATGAGCCTTGATGTAAAAAGCTATCTGTGATGGCGTAAATAAGAATACATTTTGTCACTTCATTTCTAAATGTTGAAATGATTAGCTCATTGTTACTCTGTGTATGTACTGATAATTGATTTCAAATGGCGTTCAATAAAGTATGAAATTCAAAAACCCTTCTTTTTCAACTGAAAGATGACATCATCAGCACCACAATATCTTAAGCCAGGGGTGTCCAAAGTGCGGCCCGAGGGCCATTTGCGGCCCTTGAGGGGATTTTTTTGCGGCCCGTGACTTCAAATGAAGAATCAGAAGATTTTGAGGCCTCGATTAAGATCGGCACATTATCTTATTTTTATTTTTCATGTTAACAAGGGCTGAACAATATTCCTAAAATAGAAAATGTTCAGTAACATGTATGTTGTTGTGGTTGTTTTTAAATCTACAGCTTTTACTATTTTCCACATTTTTTTGTAAACTATGAACAAAAAACATACACAAAGTTTTTGCAAACAAGCAGACTGTTGTTTAACCATTTAATGACCTGAGCTAAATGAAGAAAGCTTTTCCAAAAACATGAACCACGTTACAGACTGGATTCTGAGAAAAAAACAAATAAAGTAGAACGAAGAAATCTAAATATTTGATTTCCTTTTATTACAGGGTTTCTTTAGCGAGCCTTTTGATTCTGATCTACAAAGCCTTACTATTTTTTCAACTATATTTTAAAAAACAAAAATTGCAACCCGCGAGCGATTCTAACACGACAATTTTGGCCAGCAAGAAAAAAAGTTTGGACACCACTGTCTTAAGCCTATAGGGTACACTGTTTGTAGAAAAGTTGTGGTGGGATGTCAGCTCACATTGTACGACTGAATCCTTTACGACTCACGACCACAGAAGGAGGTTGAGGTCCGATCGAGTACACACATTGTGAAACAACACTCTCACTCTCTCTCTCTCACACACAGTCAGCATCACAAATAAACACAAGGTTACTCACGGCTAAATCATTACAAATATTCTCTGTGAGCTGGAGGTCAGCAGATGTCTCCTGCCAACGTTTCTTTTATAACGCGAGGGCAGCAATGGACTTAATGGGCATGCCTGCTGTTACCATGGTGATTTCGGACGCTGTTTGTGCAGGCCCAATGCAGGCTTTGATGTCACTGTGCAAGTGTGTGTTCAGTCGTAAGGGCAACATTTCAAACGTGCCAGAAAATAATCCAACTGGTTGGGAGCAGCTGATCGGGCAGTGATCCCGCCTTACTGTACACCGCACAACTAGAGACATGCAATCACTCATACAACAAAACAAATGGGGTCTTAATCGGCCTGAAACCGGCCCAGCTTCAAAGAGCTCATATGTTTTCCTCCAGAATATTGCCCTTGCAGAATTCAGGCTTCCTTACGTTGAGTCTCCAAAAGTAGTATGGGAGGCAGAACCTTCGATTATCAGGCCCCTCCCCTGTGGAGCTCATGCTGCATTTGTGTGCTCCTCGGATGGTCCCATTCTGTTTCTGAGTTGTAAAGTCGTTCTTCCAACTTTAGAGCGTTTAGTGCTTTTTGCGGAAAGTTGGAATGTTGTAACTACAAAAAAAAAGTGTGGATGCTACTAAGATGTGTTAATGTCTCTGTTATGAGTTATAGTTCAGTGAAAAGTCGATGTGACTAAATTCATATAAAGTATCTTAACATGAGGATGTGAGGACCAATATGACGTCAAGTCGGCCACCTAAATTTTCCCGAGTTTCCGAGTTGTTGTTTCGACTTGAGCAGATGTTCATGTGCATTGAACAACTCAGAAACAATGAGGAAACTTGTATTCCCGATGTGTCCGACACCACATGAATACACTAATATACAGGAACGTCTCATGGAGGCTGACACACTGTACTGTACCTTTAAGAGTACAGGCTTAAGTTCTCATTTTGATGAAGCTTATAGTTAGACCTTGCTCAGCCTTTCAGTGAATCAGCTTTGAGCATAGACTGTAAATATTACTTATATACCTATAAACCTATATTACTAGCCTCCAGTTATCCTGCTATAGGCTTAGACCATCGTTGGAACAAAGGCAGCAACATGCAAACTTTAGTTTTTGTCTGGTGCAAATTTAAGAGCTTGAAAAGCCTGAATCCTGAAGATGTGGAAGTACTGCGAGCTTGGTTTCCATTTGAATATTTTATTTGATAAACAAAAAAATGTTTTGGTTTACATTTCAAACAAGGAAGTACACTGAAAAGAAAACACCTGGTAAAAGATGGAGCCAAAATTAATTAAAGTTGATATCGAATAAAAACAGAACCTCCCTTTGAACAGAACGGGGCGTTTCCTCTGCAAACACAAACCATGACGACGAGTTTGAACTGCCACACAATGAATTATTACAGAGTTAGTGATACAAACACAACTTAAATACCCAACTGTTACCAGGAGGAGCTTTTGGCAGCCATACGACTCATCTTCCTCAAACAATAAAAAACATATCCAGTGGAACAAACTCAACGACTAAACAGAGACAGGAAAAAGCAAGCGAGTTTTAAAATCACCAGACATGAACACGAGATGATATATATATATATATATATATCATAATTTAAAGATAAAACGTCTCAGTCAACACGCACGTACAAAAAGAGGACAGAAATTGGCATCACCCTTTAAACAGAGCATTTTTAAAATATCAAGCCATAATCAAATACAGTTTTATACCACAATGGATATCCATCATTTGATCAACAGAAACGAGCACAACAATTCAACTTTAAATTCTGTGATGATGTCGATTAACTGAAAGGAAGCAAAACAATTAAGAGAATCAACAGCGAGCTGACGGGCTACAAAAACATGTAGAAGATATATAAACGTGTGGAGTGGAATACTTACACAATATAAATTTAGATCATCTCCAAAATGACACTTTGGTACTTTATCTGTGCTTTGAATCACTTCAGATAACTACATTCAGTTCACTGTACGCATTAAAGTAAAGATGATTCTGGACTCTTAAGTGACTCAGATAATTCTCCTCTACATCGGCTTGAAATAGGTTTTCAAATTTATGTGCATCAAATGCCAAACATTAGGAGATTTCATTTTAAATTCTTCTGTTATGTCTTCACGAGCCGTTGAAAAATCAAGCGCTCCTGCACAAACTGAAACTAAGTTAACAAATCCAGGAAATCGCTTCATTCATTCGCCCCAAATTGTGTTTTTTTTTGTTTTTTTGCATGAAGGAATGCATGAAACAACCAAGAATAAAAAGCATCAAACACAAATGACATGTTCAGGTAAACACTGTTACAGCTGGTGGTAGATCTGCTTAGATTAATGTGCACCTCGTCCGACCTCAGAGAGACTTGCTGGTAGAGCGAGAGAGAGAGAGAGAGAGAGAGAGAGAGAGAGAGAGACCCGGCTGACCCGTTGTGGGTTTTTTTTTCCTTCTTCATAATCTCTGTACATGAGCGGTACGTTTTGCAGGAAGCACCTCTATGTCCTCTTCCTGTTCCTCTTCATCAGCTGGCTCTCTCTGATTGGTTGGCTTTCACCCTGTGCACCAAACGCAACAGCAAGCAAAGTGTGTGCGACACTCGAGTCTTCACATGCAAAGAGCAACAAGATAAGAACAAGAGCAGAAACTGGCAAAGCTCGAGCTGTTTTTTTTTTTTTTAATTCCCCGGGACAACACCTCTGTCTTCAGCGTTACACCGGGGCCTGAGTGAGCAGAGAAACAAACACGGTCCAGGCAGTTTTTTGTTCCATAGTCTTTCTTTTATGTTTTTTGTTTTTTTGTTTGGCTGTAGCAGTTTGTAAACGGGCCCTGCCTTCAACCCGCGACCGCCGTGCAAACCGCCGCTACTCGGCTTTGTGGCAGTAAATGTCCTTCAGAGCTTTCAGCTCTTCAATCAGGGTCTTGTTTTGGTTTTCCAACACTGCCACGCGGTTTTCCAGACATTTGACATACTCTTTCTTTTTCCTGCGGCACTCGCGAGCCGCCTCCCTGGAGAGGAAAAGAGAAGAGGAAAATGTGTGTTTGAGTCTCTTGATGAAAATGTAATTACGGCTGCCTCACAAAAAATGCAAGCTTTGCACAATCCAAGAACTCAAGTTTGACTTTTTGACAGGGGGCTGCTCCTACTTTTATGTCAATAATTCTCTGAGCACTATTTATTTCTACTCCCTCTGCACATTTCACATCAACCATTGACAACCAAGAGACACACAAACATTTACACATTAATAAAAGGTGTGTGCTGCTGCTTTGACTAAACTAATTCTATATCAAACTTTCAGGTCACAAATCAAATCTCTGGATGAGTCTTTCACTGCATGAATTTGGAAATCATTTTCAAGAAAGTTTTAAATAAGACCTCGTTAACTTAGCTCCTTTAGCAGTAGTACACAAAGAGATTCATCTTTTGAATCCGTTCTTAACACTGACT